AACTAATAAATCCGAAAAGTCAAAAAGGAACCCTCAATCTGTATGGCGTTGTCTACTGTGGCCAAGAAGAAATCATCATCGAGTCTGCTGGCTCCAGGTTTCCGTTTCCACCCGACGGACGAGGAGTTGGTGCGCTACTATCTGAGACGAAAAGTCTGCGGCAAGGGTTTTCGATTTGATGCAATTTCCGACGTCGATATCTACAAGGCCGAGCCATGGGATCTACCTAGTATGCGCCTCTTGAACTCATCTCCAGTGGCCTTTTGTATTTTTATCCATTGTTACTTGCCAAAATTAATCATCTTTTTAGTTTTGATGTTGCTTTCTCCTTCAGATGGGATTTTAATCGCGGATAAGTGTTTGTTATCCGTTCTTTTTTGGGGGTTTTGTTCTTTTAATTCTGTAGGTCTGATTCTTGTATCTTTATTTTTGTGAAGATTGGTTAGCTACTGAATCATGTTGAGAAACATTTATAAGTATGGCCAAATTGAAACTAGCATGTCGGAGTTCAACACAGATCTAATGTGATTGTAATGGGTTTAATTCCAGAGTGTAGTGGCTCTTTTCCCTGGTTTTGATCTTTTAATTTAATTAGAATCGGTTAAGATTGAGACTATCATACATCACTGGTCTCGAGCATAGTTTTAGATGGCTATGCTTTGGCCTCGCCATGGCCTGCCCCGACAAAGGCTATTGGAAATTGCATCGCCACAGTCTGGACGCCATAGGTTGCCGAGGCAGGAGGCTCCATGGCCTTCCCTCTTTTAGTTGATCCACTGCTTCAGAAGTAGTTGCATGCCATATTTATTGCATATATTAGTTCTTAAATCTAGTCAGCATTTTGGGCTTTCTCTTATTTGTTCCGGGTTTGTCATTTTTTTTCTCCATAATAGACTAATGTGGAAAGCTATATACTTACTCTTTTTTGCTTGGGATGTTACCAGTACTCTTTTCAAATCAAATTTATACCTCAAGTTAGTGAGCAAATTATCAGATCATGCTCAACAAGATTGAGTGGCTTTGGATGTGCTACACCATTTCTGAGTATGCAAGGATACATGATTTTACTGGAACATTTTGATTGTCATTGTTGTTTCATCTTTTAAATTCCTATCTTATCATACTAAATTTTGAACTTGATGGGATATTTATTTTGTGGCCGTTTCTTGTAGGTTTCTCAAAGCTGAAGACTAGAGATCTTGAATGGTATTTCTTCAGTGTTCTAGACAAGAAGTATGGTAACGGAGCAAGGACCAATCGTGCCACTGAAAAAGGATATTGGAAGACAACTGGAAAAGACAGGGCTGTCTACCATAAAACACAGATTGTTGGAATGAAGAAAACACTTGTTTATCATATTGGCCGTGCTCCAAAGGGCCAGAGGACTAATTGGGTTATGCATGAGTATAGACTTGCTGACTTGGAGTTGGTGAAAGCTGGGATCATTCAGGTATGGTCCCCTCATATTACATGTTCAGTCGATTGAATTAGTCTGAATGATGCAAATGAAACATGACCTTGAGGGTTATCTTGAAAAAAAAAAAAGTAGGAATCTCGCGTAAATGATATCTGGAACATGAGCAACTTATTACAGTAAAACACGCACACACAAAAAAATAAAAAATAAAAGGATTGTTCGTTCTTCCCCAAATTGAAATTGGAGTAGAAGTAGTCTGCACAATTATATCTGCAATCAGTGTTATTTTTATGGGCATTGGATTCACTTGTATATGATTATTATTTGCTTGTTTGTGTATGATTCCTAAGATTTAAACTTTTAGAACTATTACATATTTTTGTTGGAGTAGGATGCATTCGTGCTTTGCCGAGTCTTTCAGAAAAGTGGTTCAGGGCCAAAGAACGGCGAACAGTATGGTGCACCTTTTGTGGACGAGGAATGGGAGAATGACGAGTTGGAATTTTTTCCAAATGCTGAGGTTGTAGAAGAGGTTGACTTTGGTGACGATGCTTATGTTGATGGCGATGACGTTCAGCAGGTCAGTGCTTATAGCTGCTATGCACTCACCACCACACTCACACTCCAAAATTGATGAGGCCAACATGAATGTTAAGGGCGTGTTTGTATACAAATATATCCACTTAAAATGAGTTTTTTTGGTTAATTAGAGTTAATTTTGAAAAACGTGGTGTAGGTAGTTGTTCGTGGGATTTTGAGTTTATAACAAACAACAACAACAACAACATACCTAGTATATTCCCAACAGATTGGGGTCTGGGGGGTCAGTTGTACGCAGACCTTACCCTTGTAATTATACAAGGAGGCTGTCTCCGTAGCGACTCAAGGTGCATTGCGCCGTTTGATATTTTTTTTTTTCTAGAAACTTCACTAATAGAAGAAGCACTAGAATTTAAAATAATATTTAAAAGAAAATAAGTAAAGTTGATTTGATGTAAAAGTAAAAGAGAGATGATGTGAAGTGATAGTTAGTTAAAATTATGTGAGTGGATGAATATCAAATTAAAATTGATGTGATGTGTAAAAATGATTGGCTTGTATTATTTAATTATATTAATAATATTGAGAATAGTGGAGTTGAGTTAAGTTGAGTTAGATTTTGAGTATGAATTGAGTATGGATTGAGTTTTTTGATATACAAGCACACCCTAATTGAGACATATTTCTTATCCACATGGCATGTTCCACTAAACGTGAACTGTTGTCTTTTAGTGATCTTTGAATGGCGAATTATTTTGGCACATTTTCATGGTGGTTGTAGGATTTTATTCCTTGAACTCGAAAATCTAAAACAAAGAGTTAAAGAGAACTAAATGTATGCTTACACTTGGACATTTTAGCTATGGGGAGTAAAGAAATAGGGAATGCCTAGTGAAAAAATGAATAAAAAGATTTCAGCATTAGTGGCAATAGTAATGGAAGCTGCTGCATTTCACTATGATTAGTGCCACAGCTACATGGTCTTGTTTGCTCTTCTAATCAGAAGATAATAGTGGGAAAAAAAATGGTATTGGACTCTGAATTACAATTGAAAATGTTTCGTATAATCTGTGGTCATTGGCCATTTTACGAGTTGCTTTTGAAATTGATTATGAAACTCTGTCCAGTGCGCACTATCTTCTTCCTATGGAATAGTCATCTTTTCATATAATATGATTATTTTTTTGAGAAGCTTTGTTATGCATTAACACTATTTCATGGTTATTCTGTACTAAATATTTTTTTCTGCTAGATTCTTGCATCATCAGATGTTCCATACGATGTTTCTCCTCCGTTGAATCCCCAATCTGCCAATGGCAAACTCGACCTGCAGACTGCTGAGTCTGTCAATGACACCCCAAAGCCATTGCTGACTGCCAGTGAACAATACAGTGAATTCGAGCAGCAGCATGAAATGGATGCAATGGCAGTGAAGCATGAAAATTTAGGAGAATCGAGCAAATCTCATGATCCTTCTGATGATTTGTTGGATTACTTACTTGATGAACCATTTGTTGATGCTCCTGATGGGCTTCCTTACAGCAATGGAGGATTTCTTGAAGCTAATGATCTCACAAATCCTGTTGATAATGATACCTCTGCTTTTGATATGCTTGAGGAATACCTTACATTTTTCGATGCCAATGACAACAGTACAGAGCAGTTTGTGTTTGATCCTTCACTGATGCTGGGAACTGAGGATCTTGTTTCTGGTCGGGCATTGGTCCCTACAGAGGTACTACTTCTTAAGTTGAACATACTTGGTTTTTTTTACTTGCGTAAAACTTACAGCTCTCTGTCTATGTATTATTTGCCAGGATCTGAATGGCGGGACTGAGCAATCGGGTCTGCAGAATGGATTTCTTGTTAATGATAATAATGGTATTGAATTGCCGTCATCTAATAAGCTGGATTCTGCTAAATATGATTCAGGTAGTGAAAGTTTCACTGATGTTCAAAACTATATGAATATTCCCCATAAAGTTATCCTCAAAAAATTGCACTCCGCAACCTCAAGTGCGGATCTGTTTGATCAATGCAAGTTTCCTCAAGGTTTTTGTAAGCTTTTCTAAGGGGCTATGGCTATGTTTGGTAAACCTAGCTGGTAAACTAATAAGTTCGCTTATAGCTTTTAAGTGAATTTCGAGCTTATAGCTTATATGACTTATGTGACTTATGGTTGAAAAGTTAACTTATATGATAAAAGTGTTTGGGTAAAATTAGCTCATAAGCTAGCTGAAATAAAAATTTGAATGAGCTTATTTGAAAAGCTACCTAAGGAAGCTTATGAGATAAACTCGAACTTTTTAAAAAAGCTCGTCCTACCAAACCAAACTTATTTGAATACAGGAACCTTATAAGCTAATCAAATAAGCTATAAGCTAGCTTATATGCTTACCAAACACATCCTATGTCTAGTTATGAAAACTACTACTTGAATGCTTGGTTTTGCTTCATCATAAGGGAAGAATGTGTTATTCTAAACATAACATTTTTCATTTTTTTTTTCCTTTTTTTTTCTGGAAAACTATAAACTAAGCGATGAACGTTGGGCTCCATAGTCATTAACATTATATCATCCTCTAACTGGGATTATTCCATTTGTGCAGACGTTCAGTATCCTTTCTTCAAGAAGGCAAGCCAGATGTTGAGCGGCATTTCTGCTCCGCCTGCCTTTGCTTCTGAGTTCCCTTCGAAAGATGCCGTGCTTCGCCTCAATTCCTTGTCCCAACCTTCCAGCTCGGTTCGTGTCACAGCTGGCATGATTCAGATAAGAAATTTGAGCTCATCAGATCGAAGCCAGCCACTGAGCAAGTCTCAAACCTCCAACATTGTTCTCTCGTTTGGCTTTTCGCTGGAATCCAGTCTGAGTGTACTTCAAGGTAAAACTGCAATGGCAGTCTCCAGAAGTTGGTTTTACTTTGTGCTATTTTGGGTCCTTATCCTCTCTGTGAGCTTCAAAATAGGGACATGCATTTGTGCAACGTGAAATTTGCAGTGAGTGTCCTAAGTGATGCTTTTCACTATAATGGTTCGCCATACTGGAAGGGTCAGGTTGATTTTGCAATTGAACTGTGGGGAAGATTTCAATTTCGTTTTTTAATGTTTTGAGTTTAGGGGAAAAATTAGAGTTTTGGAGCACCAAAATAAGACTAGCTATTTTATTTATAAGTTTGAAAGATGGGTTTGACTTATTGATTGAGTTGTTTTGCTCGTGTGTTTCCACATGTTAATTGCGAATGAATAGAAGTTGCTTGAGCTAGGTATGTATGTGGTTGGACTTATATTTTCCATTTTTTACATCATTAAAATAGAAAGTGATTCATGTTGAATGTAATTGCCTTTCAAGCTGTAATTTGCATCGTATCTAAATAATACCAAAACCGTGGTGAAACCAATCTTTAGGCTTGGCAACACCAAAATAAGACTAGATGATTGGGCGATGGACAGACAATGACTTAAATGGATCGACATGGGATGATATCAAGTTTTTGTAGAAAAAATTTTCCAAGATCAACCCTTGGGAGAACGGACAAAAAACGGCAAGGGTATTGTCAAATCGGGAACATATGGAAAAGAGTCACTGAAGACAACGGCAAGGAAAACCTAGGGTTTATCGGAGAAGTGGCTACGAAAGAGGATAAGGAATTGGGGACCATCGAGGTTAAAGTCAGCTGTTGGGCTAAAGGAAATTGAAAGAGTTGGGCCGCATGTGGCAACTAAGCCCAACTAGGACAGAGTTGTTGTTATTAGCATTGGGTCTTTTATTATGATAGGCCAGTAGTACTTGGCCCAAATTACGTGTGGTTAGTCTATTTTGTCTTGTGCGTATGGGACCCATAGGAAGTTATAACATGCTGAAAAATATGATGAAAAGGAAATTCAGTTGCTTTCTCCCTCACTCTCCTCTTTCTTCCGTCTAATCCATCTTCTTCGTCAACAATTCTCTATTACAATTCACTACAGAAAATTACAGAAAAATTATAGAAAAACACAAAAAACCTAACAGAAGATGTAGCTATCCTTATTGATCCAGACAATAATATGAAAACGGGTTTTCCATATGTGCTAAACACAATCAATGTTCTTTTTCCGCCGTAAT